TCTCCTCGCGATCGCCGGCATTGATGATCGTACGGACGAGAGCGTCGACGCCACCCACCTGGCAGACGGTGGCCTTGTTCCTCTGGTTGTTGCACGTCAGATTCGAGAGGATGCCGGCGGCGCAAGTCACCACATTAACGTCGGTGGAGCCCAGGACCTGGACCAGCGACTGGAGCAGTGCCTCCAAGCCCTCGACCTTGGTGGCAGCGTCCGAAAGATTGCGCAACGTCCACAGGCAGTTCTGGACGAGACGCGGCGACATGTTGCCGAGATGCATGGCCAGAGCCTGCATGCCGCCGGCGTCGACGATGGCCGGCTTGTTGCTGGAGCACACGGAGAGCACTTTGAGCACCCGCGAAGTGGTCCACAGCAGCTTCTCGTAGTCGTAGGAGCGCATGATGCGCACCAGCTCGTTGGGGCCGCCGGAGGCCAGGATGATCAGCTTGCTCTCCTGGTTGCCGTAGGCCAGGATCTGCAGGCAGTCGGTGACAATGGCCAGGAACTTGACGTTGTTCCTCTGCAGCAGCGTGACCATCTTCTGGAGTCCTCCGGCCAGGCGCACGGCCATCTTGGAGCCGTCCTGGTGGAGCAGCAGATTGTGCAGCGTGGTGATGGCGTAGAAGAGCACACTCTCCACCGGCGAGGAGAGCAGCTTGACCAGGGCCGGTATGCCGCCGCTCTTGAAGATGGCCAGTAGACCCTGGCGATGGTGTGACAAGTTGTGCAGCGTGCCCACCGCTGCCTTGGTGCTCTCCAGATCGTTGCTATTGGAGATGGCGCGCACCAAGGCGGCCACCATCTGGGGACTGTTCATGATGGCGTGACGGGAGGCCTCCTTCTTGGACAGCTGGTGCACCATCATGGCTGCCTGGGAGACCACCACCTGGTCCTCGTCGTTCAGCAGCTTGATCAGCTCTGGAATGGCCCTGGTGGCCAGCTCGGCGTCGTCCTGGTAGTTGATCAGATTGACCACGGCGTGCTTGAGCATCTGCGACGGCTCCGACAGGCGCTGCACGGCCGTCGGCTGCTGGGGATCGAACTGCGTGGAGGGGATCTCGATGCCCTCCTCCAGGGTCTCCGGGAACATGGCAGCCCTAACGCGCTGGGAGCGCGTCTGGCTCAGCTGCTGGTTCATGTCGTCCACCTGGTCCTGCGTGAAGTTCTGCGGGAACCCGGTATCCAGGTCGAACATCAACGGATCTCCGTCCATTTCCTCGTCCTCCTTGCCGGACAGCGACGGCACCTGGGTGACGGCACCCGAATGGATGCCGGAGTCGCCCAGGTACGAGTTCTGCTGCCACATAAGGGTCTGCTCCTTGGCGGACACCATCGGCGGCAAGTCCGGTGGATTGTATTGGTTGTTGTGGGACACTGTTTCGAGAAAGAACAAGAGGATAAAGGATATAAAGGGTGATTCTAAAAGGATTTCTGGAAGTGGAAGTGTTGGAGGAGGTGGTGCATTTCCATCAGAGGATTAAGAATTTCGTAATGGATCTGAAATCCAAGTATGCCCCTCTTTAAAATCCATTCATTTTTTTGCAAGGAGCGAGGAGGCTCTCACCCCGGGAGATGGAAAAAAAAAAATGGAAAATGACAGAAACTGACAGCAAAGTGAGCAGTAGCATCCTGGCACATAGAAGGCATAGAAGTCCTGCCAGGACTAACAGAAAAACTTTGAAGCGTGACAAATTGAACGCTGCAGGATATGGCTCTGGTGGCTCTCACACATGAGCGAGTCCTGGCAAAGGATTCGTGATTTGTGGGGCGTTTTGTTTGCCACTTCTGTATTAATTATGCCGTTTCAGGCCTCGTTTTTTTCCATTTTCCCATTTTTTTCCCCATTTTCCCCCCCTCTTGCGGCCTTTGTTGCTTTACTTATGCGCGGACACAGTTCAAAGCCACGCCCACTTGGCGTGCATTTGCATTTGCAACCTCCTCAAAGTACAGTGGGGCCTCGAACTAATTAACTTTATGGGATTTATTTCTTAAAAATGGATCTAAATTAATCTTAATAATTTAGATTCGATTTAGGATTAGGATTAGACATTTTTATAAATATATTATTTTATGATAATAGGCATTTATTTAAAATTTATAAAAAAAAAACCCCTATTATCCTATGTAATTTTTTAATATTTCTAATATTTTCATGTCTTCCTGTACTTCCTAGCCAGGCCTCACTGTAATCCATCCCATTTCGTTTCCTATCCCAGATCGATTAAGCGCTTTTTCTTTATCCTTTTTGGCTTTATCCTCGAGTGGGCCAGGCCCTCTCGAACGAAGCACGAGGAGTGTAAGTGGAAGTTGCTGCTGCTGCTGCTGCGGCTTACTAATTAAATTCTGCACAGCAGTGGCAGTGCCACCAGTGGCAGCAAAAAAAAAAAAAAAAAAAAAAAAAATGAGGCAAGAACGCAAAAAGCATAAGAAAAATGTGCAGCCAAGTTGAAAATGAGATTGGGGCAGAGTGGTGGCAGTGGCAGCTGGAGTGGGAGTGGGAGGAGCACTGCCACGTGTGCGAGTGGGAGGCTATCAACTTGCAAAGGGTACACCACCATGCCACCATGCCACCACCACCACCACCGCCAACAACAACAACAACAAGGCACACACGCAAATGAAGTGGCAAAAACCGAGTGGAATCGAAAGGGAGGGGGCGACATCTTCCCTCTTCTTCCTTTTTAGCAGCAACAGCAAAAAAAAAAAGTTTAAATTCTAAAATCAAAAGAGAATTCCAAGGAACAAGGATGGGACGGTGGGTGGATGGGTCGTTTTTCGGGCCTTGTATGGTGGTTGGGAACAAAAAAAAAGCTCCTTTTGGGTGGTTGATTGTCGTCGTAAATACGAAAAGATCATCCTAATTTTGTTAGCTCAGTTGGAAGTGTTCTCAATGAATGGAAAACGTATGCAAATACGAAATTAATTATTTACAAAAAAAAGACAAACAACAAATACAAGCTTGTTCTTGTTTGCTTTTTAATAGATAGCCTTCCTTAAAGGGATTTCCCCGGTTTTTCCACAACATTCCAGTCTTTGAAAGTATCTCCTTTTCATTTTTAAAAACATTCCAAACATTTCCCAAAACAATGGAAAATCACAGTTACTTATAAAGAGGACAAGATCAAGGAGAGACAATAGAGAGAGAGAGAGAGAGAGTACTTACTGGTACGATTCTGGGCTGGCATGTAACTCATCTTGGTGATTAAGGCGCTTTACACCACACCTGCAAGAAAGAGACGAAGCATAAATGAGTAATTCGTTTAACAGTTAACAGTGTGTGTGTGTGGGGGGGAAACAAGAAAGGTAAAATAAAGCTCCAAAAGATAAACACGACTCCTGGATAGATGCAGGCACTTCTTCCACGGCTTAGTTGCATAGTTTTATTTAATCCATTTGTTTTGTTTTATGTTTTTTTTTACGCATTTCCGCTTTCCAAATGCCGCAGCATAACTCCGAAATATGCTGCGTATACCAAACAAGCACACTCACACACATGGAGACAAAAAAAAAAAAAAACAGAGAGCAAGGTAGAGACATCTAGACTTAGGTAGAAACGTTGTATGTATGTCGGCTTGGATTCTTGTCTACCTGCCACGAACCTTGAGTTATTTAATTACTATGCTTGGCACTGATTGAAGACTTCAGCACTTGGAAAAAAATATTTAGAAAAAAAAAATGTATGTTGTATGTATTTCACTTGCAGCGAAAAAGGCGCAGCGGAAAATGCGACCGAACGGAACGGAGGCACAAGTACAAGTAAGAAGAGTGCGCCGCACTTGCAACACAGAGGCTGGCTGGATGGATGGATGGCCTGTGCGAGCGAGAGGGAGAGAAAGTTAAGGGCCCGAGTGCACGCACACACACACACACTCACCCACATATAGGCTGCAATGCTGCGCAGAGTTGCCACTCACTTGAAATGCTTATAAATACACAAACTAAAGGATTCTGGGGTTTCTCTAGATTAGATAAAACTAGATAAAGCCTCGATAAAGAGCCTTTAATTCAGACAAAACACAATTTCCTGTCGACGGCGTTGTTTACATTCCAGCGAGAAGTTAAACAACAACAACAAGCTCGCATTTCATGGGAATACATAAAAATGCCGTTTGTGTGTATCCAGCTCCGACGCACACACTCGCAGTTATGTACTTGTACGTGAGCAGCTTACCACTCCCCCTCTCCCTCCCCCACCCGACACACTACTTGTTTGCCCTTGCTTTCCAGCTTTCCAACATGTTTTTAGCTTTTCAGCCAACTAAACTAGCCACCAATTAATTAATTCCTTAACTTACCACGTCAATTATAATTTAGTCTGCTTTAGAGCAGGATTTATTTATTTTGAACACACTTTCTGACAAATTAACAGCAAATTCTCGACCTGTGAAAACTGTGTATCAACTAGTGATGGCCGATGGCCTATAGCTGGGCCGATAACTGGATAACTGCAGCCAGGGTTGCCAGAAGGAAAGAATTTTTAAAAACGAACCTTTAAGAACCTTTTATTGGACAATATCTTTTCAATCCATATCAAAATCACAACTCTCTAACAGTAATATTTTCAGAATTAATATACGGATTTCCCTTGACCTGCTGTGCCGAGTACTGTAGGTTGCCCTGTTTGTTATGTACATGTGTGTGTGTGGGTGTTTGGCAAATCAAGTTTATGTAAAATCCAAGTTGTTTTGGAAAGCACTTCATGAACTTTTATGATTTCAGAATACCTACCGCGTCAGAAGGAATTTTGTCTGCTCAGAGGCAGATTTCTGCGGTTATAATGCACTTAATTTACTTTAAATTCGAGGGGAATTCCGACTTGAAAACTGTGTATCTAGAGATGGTCTAAAGCTGTCAGCTGTGACGATAGTCAGACTTTCTACTCGACCTCCCCGATAGCCATAGTGTTGCCACAGCTTGGGTAAAACAAATAGCGGCAGACCGTTATCGATAGCTGGGATTATTAAACGAGCGCGATATTCAAAACAAATTTTGGAGACTTATGGTTCAATTTAAATTTTTATTAATTAATAACTAAACGAAAAGTTTTCTAACAATTATTACAATTAGGTTCTTCAGGATGGTAAGTGTCGCTTATGGGATTGCTTTGGGGGAAGACGGCGTGTCAGTGGGTTCTTCTGAAATTTTAGCTTTATAAATTTTCTCGATATGTGACGGTGGGTAAATTATTCGGGTTATTAAGCTTTTATAACCAGACTCGTTGTAAGCTTCATACAGCTGAGAGAATACGAAAAGCGCAGCCACGGCAACTAATCCGATAAGGGGGATCATAATAGCGAAGCCACCAACGCATGCGATAAATACCATCGTTACAACAGTGAGAAGGGTGCCTAAATAAAATTGCGATTTTTTTAAACAGACATCGAAGTTTTGCTTTCAATAACTCACCTTCTAGTACAAGAACACCAGTTAATGTCATGAAAATGGTGGCCATTCCAAAGCCAAGGATTACCAAGAACGGAATCAGAAAAGCCAGTACGGCGGACAGCAAGACGATGGCCAGGTGCGGATTTCGGGCACACCAGCCGGAGACGGATTCGACAAACTCATTTCCGCCCAAATCCTTCATCACAAAATCAGCCATGCGGCGAACTAGGAGCACTAAAAAGGGAAGGATGGTCTTTGGTTATCAGGTTCGATTCCAGGCAGACATTAATCCCATACTTGATTTGTTGACTGCTTGCTGCATCCATTCCGCTGAGGAAGGATACTGGATTTCTTCAATCAATGGAGTGTCCGGAATTTGATTCATTTTGGTTTCCTTGGCTTCCTTAGCTTCTTTAGCTGCGGCCTTTCGTGCTCTGTTATGGTGTGCCTATAAAGTTAATAAGCCGGAAAATAATTATTAATTGAGCGGCAATATAAAATGACCTTTGATTCTAAATTTTATTTTTTTTTCGAATTTTTTTCTAATAAAATTTTTATTATTTTTTTTTCACTTTTATTCTCACCATGTGAACAGCTTGAGTAGAAATATCAGACTGACGATGTATTCATTCCAGATGACGAACTCTAAAAATCAAACTCCCAGGCTACTTGGTTTTTATTAAGTTACTCGGCTTCTCAGCCTACTAAAACAAAATATTGAAGAGCAAAATGTAAACATTGCATCGGGGCTGCCAACTCGATGAAAAAAATATTTAGGCCGCAAGATAATTCATTTTCTTGCGGCCTAAATATTTTAACCATTATTTAATAATTTTAAACAGTTTGCTTCTATAAATAATTAATTATTTTTTTCACTAGAAATTATAATTAATTGATTAAAAATTGTATTTTTATTTAATTTATTAGGGTTTGAAATTGTTTTTTCGAGCATCGTTCGTCACTAACTTGGACTGCCAAAATATTTGGTTTTTAGAACCTTTTTTAAAACAAAGTCTTGTTTTTTTATTGGATTTATTTATTTATTTTTTAACTCAACTCACAAGCCGTTTTAAATTATTTAAAGCTTCAAATTCACAAATATTTATTTTTTTACCAGTCACTGCGACCTATCATCACATTTTATAAAAAAAAATTATTTAAAAATTTAGAAGAGGAGAATTTATTTTAAACTTTAAAATAAATTTAATGAAGCAGAAATCGAAGTCCATTAAATGGCGGTCGCTCTGTAATTCTCTCGGCAATTAATCGCTCTCCATGGATTGTCATTCCACATCGCAGCTTGGGAGCATGCAGGACATTGAGATCCGGAACTCGGTCGCGGGTCTGGAGGGGCAGCCATCCGTAGACCTGGGACTCCAGCACGGGAACCCCCTGTCTGAGCTGGCGGTCTCTCTCTATCTGCTTCTCCGGCCAGGTATGGCGGAGATACCGCAGCGGATTCTCCGGCTGTCGCTGCTCGAATTGGGCGTAGAACTTCCGGGTTAAAGGGTGTACTGCAATGGAGAATTGTTAAAATATATTAATTTATTATGAATAATGATTATTTCGACTCCCAAAGGTGGTCCTGGATTACAGGTATAGGTATAAATTTTAAAAGGACGAATAATACAGCTATTTTAAAGGTGGTCCTGACCTTGGCTAACGGGAACAAAGGCTTCGTAGAGACGGATATGTCGGTTGGAATTTTGGATCAGTTCCTTTTCAAAGTCGTAGGGCAGCGGCTTGGGATCCCCCTCGTGATGATCCTGGCCTTCGCCCTCCTCTTCCCCCTCATCGAGGGTTTCGGGACCTGGTTTCATATTGGTTTCACTTTCACTGGAGGTGGTCCTGGTCCTATCCCAATTGGAACTCCCCTTAACTTTCCCGACACCCTCGAACTAGAACTCCTCCGTAAGGAGTTCACTTTTGTGCCAAGGAATCGGTCCGCAGTCGGTGGCGTGCTCGCTTCGTTTGACTTGCCAAAAGGAGTACACTGCAGTAAGGACATCCTTGCCATCCTTCCATCCCAGCCGTCCTTCCATCAGTTTGTCTGCTGCCTGCCGCCTGCTGCCATTTCACTTTGGCAGCAACTTGTACTCATTAAAGTTTTTCCATTGTTGCCGGATGGCAGGCAATGTTTCTACCAATACACTACCAATGCACACGCATCCATCCCCACAACGCACCACCATACCCACTGCCGCTGCCACCGCCCAAGGAGCCCAGCGGGTGCTCCTCGAGGGTGTGTCGCCGGGTGTGTAGAGTGTGACCCACAATCACAGTTTTCCGAACGTCAGAGAAGGCGCCTGGTTGGCGAAATTTCCCAGCCACAGTGTCCAAATAGTGGGGGTGGTTACAAAAAACCTAGAATCCCTCATCCACTACATCTATGTATATTCCTGCCCTGCCCCAGCTATCGGGATCCATTTCATGTCGTTGCTATAATTTGGTACAAGCCCGAAAAACCGAATCCTTGAAGTAAACAGCAATTTCCGAAAATAAACCCATTCGAGCGATTGCCATTGCGTGTCCAAACAATCGCGGCCGCAAATCGCACTCCGCCGGAGTCGGGGGCAGAGCCATACGGCTGTGTTGGCGGGCAGGAACCACATCCGGCACTTGCCTGCCGTAATATTGTGCTTTTTTTCCCCAAACTTTTCGGGCTAATCGAATCTAATTGAATGCATAAATACCAAAATAAATCAATTTAATTACAATTCGGGTTTCGGGAAAGGCTCCACACGCACACTCCCACTCCCACTTCCACTCGGGGATCCTAAATACGATTATAATATCATACAAATATGTAATACAAGGCCTGGTAATGTCTTCAGTATACCACAAATATAGACTAATTCATATATTTAAGTGTATGTTAATAAATTAATTGCCGGAACAAGTGGAGGTTTGCTCAAGGGGTATTCACAGTGGCGCGCCAGATCCATTATCCTGGGCCCTTGAAAGGATTAGAGGTTCTATGATATTTTCAAGTATTTACCAAACTTTAATGTACAATCATTTATAAAATTCATCCGGTATGTACATCGAACCCTTGGCACTTAAACTAAAGTCATTATTTTTTAAGTCATTTCGATTTAATTCTAAATTGTTTGTCGGAGTTTACATCGGGGATTGGGAAGGGAAATGCAAAAGAACCTTTGGAGGTAGTTACCCTAAAAACATTCACTAAATGCTTCTTATTTTAAAACTATCTTTTAAATACATACACTTTTCTCACAAAACAAAAAAGATTGCTAAAAATTTTCTAAAAATTAGGGGGTGTGGGGGATGAAACAATAGACAATTTACAAGGTAACCCCTGCGGGATCTGGGGATTTAATCCGATTGGGAATGACGGGATCGAGAGTACTCCGTGAGGTATCAGTGCCCAGTTACCAGTACTAGTTACCAGTGCGAATACCCCTTAACTAACTAAATACATATCTACAGATCAGTCGTGTTTAGTTATCGAGGGTTTGGGTTACAGGGCCTCCGGATAAAAGTCCCGGTAGGCGAGGGATTCGATATACTCCGGTCGGTGGCAGGCGAACAGGTGGTGGGGCAGCTCCTTGTGGGTGTGCTTCTCCAGCGCCTTGCGCGTCTTCTCCAGCAGCACGGACTCGTCGAACTTCACCCGCTGCACGGTCGCCTTCCGGAGAATGGTCTGCACGAACTGCGACCACACAGATCCTCCGGCTTCGTCCGGCTCCGCTTTCTCCGCTAGGGCTGTGGCATCTGCCGACTTGGGGCTTACATCTCCTCCACCGGGCTGCTGCTTGCCCTCTATTTTCATTTGGCTATTCGCTGGCTGGGCTTCGGTTTCCTGAACCTGTTTGGTGGCATCTGGAGGATCAACCTCCTTGCTTTTGGCCGGCGTAATGTCCTGCATGATGGTCTGCAGGCGGTCCACCGTCTCTGACATGCGTTTGCGAAAGTCCACTATTCTGCGGGTGTAGCGGAAGAGTTCGCGCTCCTCGGCCAACGTCAGAGCCTTCAGGTGCTCCGGCTGGCCCATGTCCTCGGGCTTCAGCAGTGCGTGGAAGCGGGTTGCCGCCTCCGTGCTGCCACTCCTGAAGATCCGGTGGGCAAACTCCTGCATGGCGGTGGTGTTGGCCATCGCCACGACATAACCCATTCGAGCGCTTGCAATGATGTCGCGAATGGGCGACGAGGTATTCGAGGTGTCGTGCCGGTCTAGGCTGTCCAGCACCTCCGACAAGTAGCTGCGCATACGCTCTCCGTCCGCCTGGAAGCTGAGCAAGCCCAGCCCCTTGATTAGCCGGATATTGGCCGCGTACTGCTGCTCCAGCTCGTACAGCTGCCACAGGGAGCGCATCCGGGACTCGTACTCCTTCTGGGCACTGGTGCCCAGGACGTTGGTGATGTTGCCGTCGTACAGCTGCAATCCCCGGATGAAGGCCACGTCCATGGTGAAGTTGTTCATAAAGGCAAGCACATATTTCAACGTATCGGCGACGGATGCGAAGCTCTCCCTCCGCTGGGCAAAAAATTCGTCCAGATCACTGACCGTCAGCTGGTTCCTCGGCACCTCGCTCCGCTGCACGCTCTGGTTCAGCTCCCGCTCCTCGCGAATCCTCTCAAAGTTGCTCACCAGCACATCCCCCGCCGGTTGCTGGAATTCATCAAAAACTTCAATGTCCACGGCCATTGTGGTGGTGTGGGGCTCTCGATCCTTGATGCTCGCACTCCTGTGCTCCTGCTCCGCCTCCGGCTGGGCTTGGAAGAAACCATGGTAGTTATCCGGCTGGCACTGCGGCACCCACTGATCCTGCACTGCCATCTGACGCTTGCGACTCCGCTCGAAAATCGCCTGCTGACTGAAGCGCTGCAGATCCAACGAGGCATAAATATCCTCCTTGTGGGCGTGGCAGCAGTGCAGAGCCGACATGTCCATGGGATGGGCTTCGGTGTTGAATATGTAGGCCCCCGCCTGCACCACGCAAACGTCCTCCTCGGTGGAGAGTAGCTCCCCACCGGTGCCATCGTTGTGCAGGAAGTTGTCCTCGTCGAAGAGCAGGTACAGGTACTTGCTCGTCTCGGCCAGGAAGAAGGACTCCATGCGATTCTCCTTCTCGTGCGTGACAACGTTGCGAATCTATGAGCGAATCGAGAGGATGAACAATGGATAACCATTAGATTTTAATAGATCCTTACCGTGGCATAGCCACACTTGGTCTTGGCACTAAACTCCAGGGTTTCCAGCATGTGCTCGCCCAGCTCCAGCAGGTACTCGTTTTTGGTGGACCGGTACAGGTACATCGCCGACTCGATCAGTTCGGGGCGCAGGGGATACACCTCCCGGTTTGGCGACGCCTCTCCAGCAGCTATGTTGTAGAACTCCGGCAGGAAGCCGTACTTCTTCCACACCCCAATGTACCGGGTTATGGTGCGCACGGCCGGCTCTGTGTCTCCGATTATACTCAGAATGCCGGGCCAAAATGCCTCCAGGGACTGAAACACGGGAAGGGTGACGTGGCCCTTGTTCATGCCCACCCACACATACCAGTCCTCCTTGCGCATGTACTTGTCGATAGCGGCCCGCGCCTCGTGAAAGAGTTCCAGCAGCTCCGGCCGGTTGAGAAGCATGGCCGCCTTCACCAGGTACTCGAACAGAGAGTCCACTCCCGCTCCAATGCCCGAGTCCAGGGCTGTCCAGCGGCCGCTCTGCACATCGATGTGGTTGCCAAAGAGGCCGATGGACGAGCGGTGGGCCCAGAGCGCGTGAACCGCCTGTAGGGCCACCTCTTCGTAGATGCTGTTCCCCGTCAGCCGGCTCAGGGTTCCGAATTCAATTAGGAAGGTTCCAACGCCAGCTGTGCAGGTTACCGATGTCTCGCCTTTGGGCACGCCATAACGCAGATTGACGGTGCCGTAGGGCATGCCGGTATTCGTATCGAAGGCCGGCAGCAGGCGCCGGGCAACATCCTCCGCCAGGCGTAGCAGCGGACCCTGGCACGGCCATCCTGCCTCCAGTTCCACACCGGCCTTCTTGGAGAGCAGGTGGGCGGAGAGCAGGCCGCCGACAATGCGGATATTGGTCTCAAAGACCGATACATTGATGTCTCTATCGAAGTTCATCTTCTGCTCCAGCAAGCGACTGACTCTCCGGAACTCCGTAAAGTTTCCCATAACGGCGAGGGTGTCCAGGGCGTCGACTAGCGTCAGAGAGTAGCTGCCCCAGGTATCGTGCCCATCGCAGGTCAGCGGACGCAGTTCATCGTAATTGGAGGCGTGTCTTAAATAGCCATCGTATGCGTGCTGGAACATTCGGCGAACATCCTCCCTGAAAAAAATGAAAGTTTTGGTGGCCTGATCTGATAGGCTGAGGGAAGAGTTACCTTAGCTCCAGCTTTCGGGCCTTGGAGTACTGCTTCTGGCCAGCAACATCTCCCATATTCAGCAGCAGGAGGGACAGGATTAAAGCGATGCAGCCATAGACGCCGGAAAGCTGCTGGCGCTGCATCTTGGGTCAGTCGGTGTGTCAATAGGTGTCGCTAATTCAATTACCGGATGGGCATGGTCAGTGGACTACAGCCAGCGTGGATGTGGGATATGTGGAAGTCGTACGCGGCTACGTCGTCGCAAAATCAAAACAAGAAGCAAAATAAGCCGACCATAAGGGAACATGGATGCCCTTATTCTTAAATTTTGGCTTCTTTTTCAACCCGACATTATAATGGTTGATTTTAAAAATTTGTACTTCATAATTAAAAAATTATGATAAATTGAAATAGCGATAGCAAAACACGATAAATTTGATATATAACCAAATATTTGATTGCTATCGAAGCGAATAAGTCCAAGAGAGTTATGCTTTCTTCTAGAGTATCATCAGCTGTTGCCTAAGAACTATCGGCCGGCTATCGACGACCTATCGTTAGGGTAGTCTATCTGTTGGGGTACAAATAAAATTTTACTAACTACTTGTACTAACTGTACTAATAATTTTTTAATAAATACAAAATAGCCCTATTGAAAAGAATTAATGCATTGGCCAGAGTAATTCAAAGATTTTACGCAAAAATAATCATCCGATTGTTGGTGGTGGTATTACGCGGCACGCGCGCCTTTTGTACGCTGCACTGTGGCAACTCTGTTCTTGTATTTCTTTGCTGGCCATTCAAAAGTGTGTGTTCAGTGTAAAGTGTAGGTGCAAATTCAAAATAAACTAAGAATCCGGCCTCCAAAATTCCATAAACTGTCCAAAACGGTAAGCTAACCCCATCTGTATTATTATTGTTTCCGGAGATCCACTGGGCGCGCCCCCCAAAGTACAGTTTATGTGTTTTCGACTATTGCAAACAACGGAACGATTCACTTTCCTGCCCAAGGGTCGTCCCAACTTGCAGTTTGTCTAAAAGCCAAAAAAAAACCATGTGCTGGCCCCTAAACAGCAATGCATTTAGGTGCATCGTGTTTAGAATCAATATTAGGCCCCACAATTTTTTATTTTTGCCTAACGCATTTCGGTGGACGTTAGTGTCCGTTGGGCGAAAAGTAACAACATTGTGTGGCAAAGCATGTGGGAGCTGATGTTTTCGAACTGTGTGCCGTTCGAAAGTCCACCCAACTAGCTTAAATATTAATCGAATATCATAAACTAACTTATTTGTAGCCTAATATATCAATATTTACGAAATAAGTAGCAATTGGAGGAAAATATTAAATTTATAGGGCAGAGTTGTCGCCGTTCGCATGACAATGGCCGCTCCGATACATGGCCACGGCGGCAGTGGCAATACTGTCCGCGGAAAAACCTATCGAAAATTTTTTTTTTAGCTCACGGTCGATAAAACATTTTCCTGTGTGCCTCTCGTCGTGTACAAAAAAAAAAAATAATATATACAAAAAAACACCAAAAAAAAAAAGAATTAGAGAAAATACATATAGGAAAATATAGGGAAAAATAATAATCGGGCGTGCAGTGGAAGTGTTTTAATATTTCTATCGATTTCGTGGAGTGCGTACACGGAGGGTTTCGCCAAAGTTCTGGGCAAAATGGAAATATGCATAATACGAAAAAGTGGCCAACAGCAACAGCAACACCAGCAGCACCACCACCAATAACACAACCAACACCAACAACAACAACAAAAATCATAGTAATAGAAAATAAAGAAAACAACAACAACAAGAGCATAGGCTGAAGCAGCTACGACGTGAGTGTGTGTGTGTGTGTGTGTTGTAATTGGAAAAGCGTTCTCGGGGGGTGGTGTGCTGAGCCATAAATTAGAATCGGATACGGATTTCGATTTTGGATTCGACTGCAACGACATTGAGATCCGCTACCAATACCTTGAGGTAGCCGCAAGTCTGGCCAGCAATCTGGAAGCAATCAGCATGCCAGCTATTACCACGGACCAGGATCAATAATCTCACCCAAAAAAAAATAATCAACCCTCAGCGGAGACGGAAAAGGAGACCGGAGCGGAATCAAAGACAATAAAAATCCGAGGCCATAAACGAGGTGGAGAGCTGGAATCGAATCCAACAATTTTGGCATCTAAAGAGGAATCACGCGCCAGCCAGCCATACAGCCAGCCCAATACGGAGAACGGCAGCAAAAATGTTAGCTAAATTCTAAGTTATCTACAATTATTGTACTGCTTGTCCCTGTGTGCGTGCCCAGCTTGTATATATCTCTACCCTATATAGTGTCTAATGGTGGTGCATGTGTGTATGTGTGGATGCCATCGCAGTTCTGTCTGTCCGTCTGTCTGGATGTCCAATTAATTGATCGTCTTTCAATTGGCGACAACTGGCTCCCCCACATGCCATATGTATTGGCCACATATCCCGCCCATATCCGATTCCACTCTCTAAGCACACACTCGCCCCAGAGCCAGAGCCAGAGCGTGCATCTCCAAGGTCCGATCCGCTGTTTATATATTGTATAACCCATGCCGCCAGTGTTTATCTTTGGACATTCCAGAGTGGGAGCACTCGCCCAGGTAGAGCCGTAGCTGGGAGGTACAGTGACAACTGCTAGGAGGCAACTGCTTGAGGCCGAGATAAGAGGGCCGCGGAGCGACAAGTGTCACCTGTTAGAACCGCCTTATCGGCCGGAGATTTACGGTCGCCTTCGATTGGCGTATCCAAACGTGGAGAGCACTGGGCCTGGAAGTAGTGTGGCTCTAGTCCCCTATCTGGAGAGGATGTAGGCCGGGAAATGCCTCAAATTGGTCCACGAATTCGCGCTTTTCTCCGCAAACTGTTTACTATTCGGTTACCGATCCATTAGATAACAGGTCTCTTATCTTGGGGAGGGGGTTTGGGGGCCCTGCTTGGCTGTTGCTCGGCGATTAAGTATTCAAGAATCAATCGGACCAAGTTGGGGTGTCATAGAGGAACCAAGATTAGTAATCCTCTAGAGATGGGGGACTATGTAGGGGAGCTGTAGGAGAGAAGAGGCCCCGAGTGAGTCACCCATTAGCAGCTTTCACTGCACCAAGCACGCACCCGAACCGGGACAAGCAGTTCACCATACAGAGTCGTGTCCAGTGAGCAGACTTCTCACTCACTAACCCTTCTTGCAGAGCAACCGCAATCCCGAGGAGCAGCTGCAGGATCAGATCCCAGTTACAGTCCCAGTTCCAGTCCAGTCACATCTTGGCACCGCACCATGGTGAGTAACAACCTGGTGGTGCCGGTGGTGCTGTGGGGACCCACGGCCCCCACCCACTGCATATCGAGCGTGTTCCTCTCGGACGACCAGTGCACCCTGGTCACCGGCTGCTACGATGGACAGATCTGCCTGTGGCAGGTGGAGCCCACCACCCTGAAGATGTCGCCGCGCTGCCTGCTGGTGGGCCACTCGGCGCCGGTGCTCTGCCTGGTGCGGGCCTCCCTGCTGCCGGAGAACAGCTTCCTGGTCAGCTCGTCGGAGAACGGCGAGATGTGCACCTGGGACCTCACAGACGGCAAGTGCATGGAGGCGGTGAAGCTGCCCCAGGTCCACACCCAGATCCAGAGCTACCACACCGCCAACAGCGAGGATGTGCGTCTCTTCTGCATCGGCTACTACGCCGAGATCATGGTCATGGACCCCTTCAGCCTGGAGGTCATCTACGTGCTCAGCTCAAAGGTGAAGCCGGACTGGATATCGGCCATCCATGTGCTGCGGCCGATGCGCCGCAAGGACGACGTGGTGCTGGCCATCACCACCACCGGCACCGTCAAGGTCTGGACCCTGACGGGCAACGAGAACAAGCACGCGGAGCCCATCTACGAGAACGAGTCGAAGGAGATCCGGTGCCTGAACGCCATCACGATGAACTGCTGCGCCCAGAACCAGAGGACCGTGCTCCTCGTCTGCACCAAGTACTGGCAGATCTACGACGCCGGCGACTTCACGGTCCTCTGCTCGGTGATCGCCCCGGCCCGGGAGCGCTGGCAGGGCGGCGACTTCATCACCTCGGATCGCGTCATGCTCTGGACCGACGAGGGCAAGGGCTACCTCTACAAGCTGCCCGCCAACTGCATTCCGGACAACAAGGAGTTCCACTCGAAGAGCGTCGTGCGCGACGCCCCCTACCTGTACTACGTCCTCCAGCACGCCGGCGACAAGGTGCTGTCCTGTCCCCCGGCCATGAAGCTGCTCCAGGGCGCCGGCGGCCAGCACAATCTGCTGCGCGGCGACTCCGAGGGCTACATCTCCGTTTGGAACGTGCCGGAGGTGCCGCTGGACAACATCAGCATCCTGCAGGCCAAGCAGATGCCGCCGCGGGTGCTCAAGCCGCACGTCTGCACCTCGCTGGTGGAGGCCTGGTCCATCATGGACCCGCCGCCGGTCGGCATCCTGGACCAGCTGTCCCGGATAACCGAGTCGCCCGTGAAGCTCACCTCGAGCATATACCTGCCGCAGCAGAGCCGGCTGGTGATCGGGCGCGAGGACGGCAGCATTGTGATCGTCCCGGCCACCCAGACGGTGATGATGCAGCTGCTGGTGGGCATCAAGCAGAACTTCAGCGACTGGCCCTCGCACCAGATCCTGTACGGCCACCGCGGGCGGGTCAACTGCCTGCTCTGCCCCTCGATGGTGCACTCGCGCTACGAGAAGTCCCACCTCCTGTCCGGCGGCATCGACTTTGCCGTCTGCCTGTGGGACCTATACAGCGGCAGCCTGCTGCACCGGTTCTGCGTCCACGCCGGCGAGATCACCCAGCTGCTGGTGCCGCCGGAGAGCTGCAGTCCGCGCATCCTCAAGTGCATCTGCTCGGTGGCGTCGGACCACTCCGTCACGCTGGTGTCGCTGCAGGAGCGCAAGTGCGTCACCCTGGCCAGTCGCCACCTGTTCCCGGTGGTGACCATCAAGTGGCGGCCGCTGGACGACTTCCTCATCGTGGGCTGCTCGGACGGGAGTGTCTACGTGTGGCAGATGGAGACGGGCCACCTGGACCGCGTCCTGCACGGCATGCTGGCCGAGGAGGTGCTCTCCGCCTGCGACGAGCAGGCCGAGGACGGCGTCTCCGGCGGGGGCGGAGGTGGCGGCTCCAATGGCGCCTCGGCCAGCGAAATGGGCATGGCCAATCCGGCGGTGCACTTCTTCCGCGGCCTCAAGTCGCGCAACATGAACGCCATCCGGCACGCCACCCAGCGCGGCATCAACCAGCTGCAGCAGCTCCAGGGCCACAACCAGGGCAACTTCGACTTCCTGATGAAGCACCGCAGCAACCCGCTGGTGATCCAGGGCCTGCGCACCAACCCCAAGGACGCCGAGAGCCACATCCTGTTCTTCGACATCGAGGGCCTGATCTTTGAGCTGCACAGCGAGGAGTACGCCCAGATGACGCCCGCCACCCTGGAGGCGCTGGGGGTGCACCTGAACAACCCCAAGGACGGCAAGTCGATGCACCTGGACGCCAGCAAGAAGATCGGCGACTTCTTCAGCAAGGTGAAGAACAAGGCGGTGGACGTGGAGAAGATCCTCAAGGACAAGGACAAGCACGGCCTGGTGCAGAAGTTCAAGGAGAAGACCGAGATCGTCGAGAAGAAGGTGCAGGCCAAGGTGGAGAGCCTCCAGAAGGCGGTGGAGCCGCACGAGGAGCAGCAGGACCTCAAGAGCAAGATCGCCTCCAAGATGGAGGTCACGCACGTGATGGAGGTGGCCCAGCTGCTGCTCTCCCTGCTCCATTCGTGGGGGTTGGACCCGCACCTCGACAAGATGTGCGAGACGCGGCTGGGCCTGCTCCGGCCCATCGTACCCATCTCGTACGGTGTCCTGTCCAAGGCCGGCTACATGTCCCTGCTGCTGCCGACGTGGCAGAACAACTATGCCATACCGCCGGGCATCCAGCTGCCCTCCAGCTCCAAGAAGCGGCCGCTGCCCGAGGAGCTGCAGCGCCTGGAGCACCTGACCGCCGTCTTCACCTCGCGCCTGCACTGGGAGCTGAGCACCACCCTGACCACCAACCACATCCTGGCCCTGGTGGCCATGTCCAACACCCTGCTCTCGATGAGCGCCGCTTCCTTCCTGCCGGACAGCGAGAAGCACAAGAAGCTGCAGAAGCTGGCCCAGCGCACCGACTCGACGCTGAGCAACGAGGAGGAGCGCGAGGAGCTGATGGCCCACCACGTCTCCCAGATCAAGCACGCCTGGAGCCTGCTGGCCACCCACCACTGCTTCCTGCTGCCGGACAAGATCGAGGCCCTCGAGCCGAAGAAGTTCAAGCGCCCCCAGGTCGAGATGATGGTCAAGCGCTGGCAGCACCACTGCATCGAGATCCGGGAGGCCGCCCAGCAGATCCTTCTCGGCGAGCTGACCCGCATGGGCAAGAAGGGCCGCAAGCAGCTGGTGGAGAGCTGGGCCCAGTACCTGCCCCTCTACACCCACACGGAGCCGATCGTGGGCGCCCAGCAGCAGCTGGCGTTGATTAGCCAGCCCTCCGGCGGCGGATCCGGCGGATCGGGCTCTGGGAACGGAGGCGGTGGCGGCAACTCCGGCGTAGGCTCTGGAGCCGGTGGCGGCAACTCGGGCGTGGGTGGAGGCGCCGGCGGGAATGTGTCCAGTGACTCGCACCAGGACGAGGACTACGAGGAGGAGGAAGAGGAGATCATACGCAAGCCATCCAGCCTGTCGGAGCTGAAGCGGAAGCAGACCACGGCCGTGATACTTCTGGGCGTGATTGGGGCCGAGTTCGGGCAGGACATCTCGCAGGAGTCGCCGAACCACCGGGGCAGCATCAGCCTGGCCACCGGAGCCAGCCTGGCGGGCGGAGCCGGGGAGCGGCGCAAGTCCAGTGTGGTGGAGGGCTTCGGCATAGCCAACAACCTGGCCCGGCTTACCTCCATGGCGCTGGCCCACCTCCTGTACGCCCCGCCGTCGCCCAAGCTGCCGCAGTACACGCCGCTACGGCGGGCGGCCATCGACCTGCTGGGACGCGGCTTCACCGTCTGGGAGCCGTACCTGGACGTGTCCAAGGTGCTGCTCGGACTGCTGGAGATCTCGTGCGAGGGCAAGGCGGTGCCGAATCTGAACTACAAGCTGCCGCTGACACCGCAGGCGGACGCCTGCCGGACGGCCCGGCACGCCCTCCGTCTGATAGCCACCGCACGGCCGGCGGCCTTCATCACCACCATGGCCCGGGAGGTGGCCCGCTACAACACGATGCAGCAGAACGCGCAGTCCATCAACACGCCGCTGACCCAGTCGGTGCTGCACAAGGCCAAGGGCGAGATCCTGCAGTGCGTGGAGATGCTGATCGACAAGATGCAGTCGGAGATCGCCGGGCTGCTGGTGGAGGTGATGGACATTGCGCTGCACTGCGTGGACAGCAACGAGCTGAAGAGCCGCGGCCTGGCGGAGCTCTGCCCGGCGATCTGCAAGTTCAACCAGATCTCGCACTGCGGCCAGACGCGGCGCATAGCCGTGGGGGCGAACAGCGGCAACCTGGCCATCTACGAGCTGCGACAGAACAAGTGCCAGATGATACCGGCCCACACCCATCCGATCACCTCGCTGGCCTTCTCGCCGGACGGCAAGTACCTGGTCTCCTACTCCTGTGCCGAGAACCGGCTCTCCTTCTGGCAGACCTCGACGGGGATGTTCGGGCTGGGCCAGTCGCAGACGCGCTGCACCAAGGGCTACTCGACGGCCCCCATACCGGACGTCTCCCGGCTAAATCCGATGCGTCTGGCCAAGCTGGTGTGGATCAATAATCGCACCGTCACCCTCATGCTGGCCGACGGCTCCGAGACGCGGTTCAACGTCTAGGATGGTCCAGGATGGTGGACTCCAGAGCATGTTATTAGGCAATCAGTGCGAGCTTCAAAAGCAGGACGCGTCAGGAGGAGGACTCTTAAGAGCCGGAACGACAAAACAATAATTATTCAAAAAGAAAAGAAAACCAATACCAATACCAAGAACCAGGCCAGCTACAAAAGTCTGGAAAAAAAAAATGGAAAGCTAAGCATAATTAAGTAAAAAAAATAGAAGAGATAGAGGAGATAGAGGAGCTGAGCTGAGTTAAACACAAATTGCAAAAAAAAACACACACTTTGTTATTTATTTATATATATATATATATATATGTATATGCATACCCAGGCGATGTATCTATGTATCTGCATCTGTCCCGCGCATCCGTATTTTAATGTATTACACGATTTTAATAATCCCCCCCCCACTGCGCCGCTTCGTCCATTTTAACAATATTCTACCGTACTTCCATCCCGTTTGTGTTTGTTGTTTGTGGATGTAACCCCTAACCGCAAAACTAAAACCCAAATATTAACAAAGTATCCCCTTTCAGAGATAAAGCTCAGATGAGAAATGCTAAACGATATATAGAAACGAATGAAAAAAAAAAAAAAGTCAAAAATCGAGAAAATCAACAAAAAAAACAAAGATTGAAAAGCTGTTATTATTATTACAAGAGAAAACTATTATTATTACTACTGTATGCTACTATTATTATTGATATTTGTTATGCCTAATGTATTGTTATATATATATATATCCGGATGGAGTTTCAACAAGCACGTATTGATCCGCGAACCGAGAACCGCATCCAGAAACCAAGCAAGATTCATGCTGTTTTTTTTTTTAAATATTACTATAATTATTATTGTAATTCCTACGGATATCTTTCTTCTTACTCTTCTTTCGATGTAATATTTCTGCTTAAGAGTGTGTATAAAGTCTTTGTTGTTCTGTGAAAAAAAAATTGTATAGGAAAATCTGTTTATAAAATACAACCAAAAAAACAAAAAAAAAGTATAAAAAATATAGTACACACACTTGAAATAATTCATTTTGCCGGGGGCAACTACAACTATTATCCTATATATTATATATGCATATATGTAAGTGCAGGAGGCATTATGTATATAGAAATACCCAACTGAATTATGAAATGAGAAAATTTGCAATATGTGTTCGTTTATTATGTATCTAATACAGTATACACACAAACCCAGACACACACACATACAATTTGTGCTTAATTTCAATTACGAACTACAAATATATATATATATATATATATGTGAGGTACACGCATACTTATATATATACGAGATCCTTCAATCAAAGTATTACACAACAACTAAATGAAAAGATAACGAACGAAGCAACTACAACAATTATGTACGGAGTATACAACAAATAAAGTCAACCAAACATGAGCAATTCGTTGGGCTTTTATTTTTGGCATCTTCTTGGGGGAGAACGGGCCCACTGGTCGGCCAGTGTGACCTAGCTGGCCTTTGATGCCCCTTTTCAATCAGCCACTCTCATAAATACGAGTCATAGACTTTATTTTTAGTTTTGTTACTAGCTATTGACTCATAGCTTAGGAATTGTTTTCTGAAATAATTAAGTTTAGACAACAAATACTGCAAACCAAGGATGAGTATCACATGGGGCTTTGTTTTTCTTGCTTTATCATTAAGGTCAGCCAGTGTGACCTACCATGCTTTTGATTCATTTTTCAAGCAGTGCTTTCTAACAAAACTAATAAGCATTTAACTGGGCTTTCATTTTGAACAGTTTCATACAGAAGAACAGGCACACTGGGCGGCCGGTGTGACCTAACTTGCCTTTTACACATTTTTTAAGCATTCCTTTCCGATAAAATAATATTTAAACAACAAATAATGTCAAAAAGAAACCAGTAATAAATCTGGGTCTCTTTTTGTACCTTTATCATTAAGGAGAAGGGTCTTACTGGTCAGCCGGTGTGACCTTACTAGCTTTTCATTCAATTTTCAAGAATTGCTTTCTAAAAAATAATAGAAAACAAATTATTTAAAGTTTAAACTAAACATGAGTCAACAATATGATTTTTTTTTCCTCAGCTTCATACAATAGATGGGTCACACTTGACCGGTGTGACCAAAGTAGCTTTTTATTCATTTTTCAAGCAGTACAAATTATTACAAAACCAACGAAAACTAAACTAGGCCTTCTTTTTAGTTGTTTTAAAAGTCCTAACTAGCTTTTAATTCATTTTTTAAGCATTTCTAAGTTTTCTAAACAAACAAAAAGTAGAAACCGGAACATGAGCCATGAAAAGGGCTTCCTTTTGAGTTTTTCATAAACAATATTGGGATAAGGGCACACTGTTTGGCCAGTGTGACCTAACTAGCAGTTGATATAGTTTCAGGAAGGGCTTCCTTACTTAAAGTTGATTTTTCCCCCAAAGTGGCGCCAAAAGTGGATATCCTTTTTTTTGAAAACTTTTATTTTTTGAAAAAAATCTTTATTCTTAAATTTTGAAATGGTTTTGTTTGAAATTCCAGCACGCCCAGTGAGAAGAGAATGCCCGTCGCAGAAGTGAAGAAAAGCGGCCGGGGCAGGAAGCCGGCGAACTCGGTGACCGCTTCCACATCCGCCGCTGCCGCCTGGAGGCAGAAGGAAGCAGCTTCTGCCATCGCCGCCGCAGCCTTTGCCACCCTCAGCGAGGAGGAGGACATCGGGGCAGTGACGGTTGGCAAAGGCAGAGTTCGGCCGATGGTCCAGGACGACGACAACGAGCACGAGGAGCCCGACAACGACATAGAGGACGAGGGCATCGTCGAAGAGGACGATCTGGGCGACGAGGAGGAGGAGGAGGAGGAGCCGGACAGTAACGAGACCAGCGACTTGGAGGAACAGATCGAGCCGCCGGCCTTCAGTCTGGCCACGTTGGGACTGCAGCGCGTGGGCACGGCTCCGCCGCCCAAGCCCAAGGTCCAGAAGGCGCCCATCCTGACCCTGAATGCGCGCGGAATGCCGGCCAGGATCCGGAAGCGCAACCGCCTCTTCTACGACGAGAACATCATCAACGACGACAAGCCGCTGCGCATGAGCTTGGCGCCCAAGCGGATGCCCGGCAGGCCGCCCCTTTCCGCTGGCGGGGGTTCGGTCCACAAGGCGCCGCTGACGCCCTCGAAGGTGCTGAAGAAGCGCAAGGGCGTCGTCTCCCGGTATATGCGCTCCAGCGACCAAGGCGACACCAACACGCTCTTCAAGGAGCAGCAGATAAAGGGCAAGAAGACGCCCGGCAAGCAGGGTTCGGCCGGCAAGTACCTGTCTTCCGGCAAGGCGTCAGGCCAGGGCGGGCACAAGGGCCGCGGTAATCCCGGCAAGGGAACGGCCGCTGCCGCTGCAGCCATGGCCGCCGCCGAGGAGGCCGCCACCCAGGCGGAGGCCCAGGCGCTGGCCAACAAGCGGCTGGGCCAGTCCATTGGACTGCGGCTGCGGAATCTGCTGAAGCTGCCGAAGGCCCACAAGTGGGCCATTGCCGAGTGGTTCTACTCGTACATCGACAAGCCGCTCTTCGACTGCCGGGACGAGTTCATGAACCACGTGAACGAGCTGGCCCCCCGGCTGGGCACCCGGAAGCTGAACCGCCACGAGTGGGTGAGCATCCGGCGGCGGATGGGCAGGCCGCGCCGCTGCTCGGCCAACTTCTTCAACGAGGAGCGGCGGGAGCTGGACAGGAAACGCCAGCTGATCCGCACGCTGCAGTCGCGCAAGCCGGGCGAGTTCAAGGACTCGATGCTGCTGTCGGACATGCCGGACAAGATCCCGATGCCGCTGCCGCTGGGCACCAAGGTCACGGCCCGACTGCGCACTCCGCAGGACGGCATCTTCGCGGGCACGGTGGCCGCCTACGACTCCCTGAACGCCACGTACCGGGTGACCTTCGAGCGGCCCGGCCTGGGCACTCACGCCATACCGGACTACGAGATCGTGTCGGAGAACTTCCACGAGATGCTGCCGCTGCACAGCTTCACCAAGGACTTCCGGCCCAACCTGATGAGCATATATCAGACCACCAACCTGGGCTATCCGTCCCACCTAGCCAGTCCCTACATGGTCAAGAAGGAGAAGGGGCAGCAGGCGTTACTGGGCGGAGGCAGTGGCCAGGCGGGGGGCAACGGGTACGCGAGCCCGCATAAGCTGGCCAGTAGCAACGCGGCGGCCAGGAACGCCCTGAGCATGAAGCTGAACAAGAGCGATCCGCTGCTGGGGCAGGATTCCATCAGCGAGAGTCCCATCCGGCAGCAGCTGGCCCGGTACCACCACAACTACTCCAGCCAGCTGCTGGAGCACCTGGTGCACCTGGAGAAGCACATCCAGGTGAAGGCCGAGCGCATCCAGCGACTGAACAAGATGAACGCCACGGCGGAGCTGGCCATGGGCGAGATGATGAGCCAGGACGAGAACGGCGACCGCCATCGCCGCCAGATCGCCGACAACTTCCAGCGGCAGTACGCCTTCAACATCGTCTCCATCGAGCGCATCAACGCGGAGCTAATGTTCGAGCTGACCAAGGTCCAGGAGCTGTCCTCCAGCCTCACCCGGAACCCGAATGTCCAGGCCATGATCTCGCCCACTTACCTGCGGGAGGAGTGCCGCGCCAAGGCCGCATACACAGTCGACGACATGAACAAGGGCATGGTGAAGAATCCCCGGATGATCGCGCTCCTCAAGAACCTGACCACGCTGCTGATCGTCACCCAGAGCCTGGGCGGGGACTGCGACGCCGCGGAGGTCAACAAGGTGCTGGAGGGCTGCATCGAGGAGGTGCGCTCGAATCTCGTCACGCTGGAAAACACCGACGTGTTCCAGAAGAGCGTCCAGATGCGGCTCGAGTTCATCGCCATGGACGTCACCCGGAGCCTGGCGGAGCAGACCATGACTCGCCTGCAGGAGGAGGTGGAGGCGGAGGAGGCTGGGGAGACGGCCGACGGGGAAAAGTCACCCAAGAGTCCCAAGTACGAGGACGAAGCCCAGGATGGTGGATCTCCGAAGACCCCGGCCCGGAAGACGAAGGGGAAGGATCTGAAAGGTCAGAAATCGCCAAAGATGGCGAGGCTGCAGAAGCTGCTGCTGTCCCCGGAGGAAGACGTAGACGAAAAGAAGGAGGCCAGCCCCAAGAGCTCCAAGCCCGCCGTCGCATCCACGCCGGTAAAGAACCAAGCCATGGACACGGAAGACGAGGAGAAGCTGGATGAGGAGAAGCTGGAAGAGGAGAAGCTGGACGACGACAAGTCCCAGGGCATGGAGGACCTGCAGGAGCTGCACGATTTGCAGGAGCACATCGAGGAGGAGATCGAGGACACCGAGGAGCATCACCTGGACCCCGAGGAGGAGGCTCGCTCCCCCAACCAGGCCACCGACGACACCCAGATCACCATCGAATCGATGAAGGAGTCGGACGAGGAGTTCCATACGGAGGAGGAGGACGAGGAGGAGATGATCGGCCTGGAGCAGCTGAAGACGGACGACGAGGACATGGAGGAGGAGTTCCTCTACGAGAAGTAGCCGGCGTTTTATATTTTTTTTTTCATTATTTAGTTGCTTTTTTTTACAAATTTAGGAAGAGTTCGGAGGGAACAGTAAGTTAACAGTTGTACCCCAATCGTTGCAATAAAGCGTGTAACAAATTAGCCAAGTCTTTGATTCTCGTCCTGCCGCAGGACCTGCCTCCCATCTGACCTTTCTCTAGAAGAATAGCGGAGAGTACCATAATCTGTAACACTATCTCTAAAATCTAAGCGAGAGTCTTTAAATAAATGCAATAAACTAAATAGCAAGCTGGTGGTTGAATGTCCTTTTCTGATAGTTCTGAAGATCCTTTAGAGGATCTTGAATTAAAGCAACTTAAATTCTTAGTTACTTGGATTAAAGGAGGGAAGGCGCTTTTTAGAGTCACTCCAAACGATGTCCTTAACGCCAAACCTAACCTACTTAATCCAGAACTATGTTGGAACTATGTAATCAGGCTAAGAGAAACACATCGGTGGAGTCCTTACAACACAGGACACTCCACTATCCCTGCACAGACTCCTAGGGAGTTAAAAAAAACCATCCTTTCAGCATCATCATCCCCGGCCCGGAGAATGCAATAAGCTTCTACACAGATGGCTCAAAGATAGAAAACAAAGAAGGAGGAGGAGCATACTCCTCCTGCTCCCTGCAGTGTCTTCCAGGCTGAGGTGATGGCCAGGACCAGGATACAGAAATTCACCCAAGGCTCATGGACGATGGGCGATCTTCTAGTCTACGAGATTCTTCAACACGGAAAGTGAAGATCCTATATACAGTATTATAATGGTTCGTGTGTTGTGGGTTGGATTTCTATATTCATTCATATATATATTCATAACCTAAAGCCTATATAAGAAATAATTAATAATAAAGTAAAAAAAGAAATACCTTTTCAGAGCTCCACTTACCATACTTTTGATGGACTTTTTATCCGATTTACATACATATTATATTACTGATATTATAAGCGGTGATAAGCTGGCATTCTTACAAGTATTCTTATTTTTATCTTTTCTTATTAAAAGTAATGCTTCAAAAAGTTTAAAATTACAAAATGATTGAGTACACTACATTTTTAAATCAATTCCAGATGAATATTAAAATAATTCTTGGAACATTTTTAAAGATAGACAATTCTTAGTTTTTAAGTGGGAAATTTGATTATATTATATTAAGAAATACATATATGAAATATAAAGAAAAATTTATGGTTTTTAAAAGGCCAGTACCGGCAGAGATTAGTACCGCGTATGGATATTTCCAAGTAATGTGTTTATATGGTGAAGCTTTAAGGGAATACGTAATAGGAACTTGGAGGAATCGGAGGTAAGATTCTATAAAGAGTTCTAATTAGTTAGGGACATCAAGCATATTGCTTTCTTATTTAAATTCTAATATTACCTTCAAGTACCGGATATCTTTTAAAGGAATACGTTGAGGGACTAACGAGGTCTTGAAGGTAAGATTTTATAAAAAACTCTGGCTAAACATTTCTAAAAAAGAAATCACAATACCTTACAAGGAACTTTGCTAGAAATTAATATTATAGGATATATTCACGCACTCTTCGGAATTAGACAGTTTGTGAAAAAACTGAGGATAATGATATATAATTTGCCTGATGAAGTTGATACTATCTTCGGTAGAGTGGGAGTCGGGTAGTTCATTCCTTATGGTGATGACCAGCATCTGCTCCAGATACGGGTCAACGGCAGGTCGCACCTTGGCGAAGAGTACCCGGAACGCCTTTTGATCGGAAAAAGGCCTTTTGATACTAAGAAAGTAACTTTTTTGACCTTTATTGATTTAGAATTAACAATTGCAATTTAAGCTGGCGATGCTTCGCTTTCGTAGAATGTGGAGACTGCACGACGAGATCTGGAACTGTTCTAATGATAAAAGGGATCGTGCCATTTCACGTACTTGGCGCAGCCATCCTTTAAATTCTTGAAGTCCGGGATAGATTCGTCTCGCATAAAAGCGATGTCAGACAACAACATGTCTTTGTTCTAAAATAAAGAAAAATATAAAAATAACAGCATTGAAAAGTATGAGTTTTTGGGGGAAAAACGTACATCATTGGCAATTTCAATATGTTCTAGGAGTCTGTGAAGAGAGAATTTTTCCTCATCCAGGTACCCCTCCATATCTTTCACTATTTCGGTGGCTTTCCCAATATTTTGCGTCAGGACCGTGAATAAATGCTCAATAAACTCCATTTTCTCCTTGTTGGTTTTTGATAAGTCCAGAGAAGAACCGTTGATCCTCTTCTGCAGTTCCGCCTTTACTTCGCCATAGAAGCCCCCTGGACCGAAATCGTTGTCGACATAGTTCGAAATATCATGAAACGCAATTTCGAGCTCTGCCATTCTCATTTGGAAATGTTTGAGACATTCCAAAGATTTTCCGTATTCTGTGCGTCCCGATTCCACAGCAGACACAATCAGGTCCAAGATTGCCAGGTTCCTATCCATTTCCGACAAGTTGCTGTCGCCAATTTTATCGATGAAGATATTAAAGGTGTTGTTGGAGGAAATGCACCACTCGAAGACTGGGCCCACACAGTTTCGGTAGCTGAAACGGGCTTGGGATTTCAAAGAGCGAATCCGAGGCAGCTTGTCCTTGGCTTTGCCCAAGTATCCCAGCATGGCTTTATCAATCTCATCGATGGCATCCAGCAGCTCCATAAACTTCACCTTCTTGTAGAACCCGGCCACGACGTTCGGCATAATTTTATTATATTTTTTGATATCAAGCTTGAACTCATCGCACCTGGCAAAGAAAGGACAAAAGGCACAAAATGCAAGTGCCATTACCAAAACGACGGTAGAAGGATCCTTTCCCATGATTGATCAAGAAGGATTAATGGCGAGGAGCTGACTGGTGCTTCCCTGACGAGAGAAGATCCGCTATTCTTTTCAAAATGTACGATTTTCGGTCTTATATATACCCAAAAAGTGAATACACTAAGGACACTTAACACTAATTCGGTTCTTGGGAACTGTTAATAATTCCTAAATCAAGAGATGTATCGTAGTTGCAAATAAAAGACTCGGATTTCGCGGAAGCTAATAGGCATTAATGAAGAAGTTCTTTAATATTCAATTTAGACATTCTCCTTATCTTTGAGGGAGGCGGAATCGGGGCTCAGTATGATTATGGCATTGAAACTTTTTTGCAAATTTTGACAAAAAAAATGAATGCTTTTACTGATAGTAATATTTTGTGGACACATATTTTCCTTTATGTGTCCATAACGAAGTTCGAATAAATGCCCGAAAAGGGTGGGGTGAATTGAAATTTAAGATTTATTAACATTTACAAATTTTATCACAAAAGCCATGATTCCCAGAATCATACATATATGTACATATACATTTTCAGATCTATAAGTATATGGGTAGTTCTCAAGAAAGGTCAACCACAAGTCGCAAGTTCATGAAAAGGTGTTTTTCAAATATTTTTACAGAGACTCTATTCATTTCCCTCCAGCGTGTGAGTTTGATGAACATCAATTGCACGGTAATTTGGAACTTATGAAGAGACTTAATAGGATCTGCCTACTCGGTGCGCGTCGATCTGCCGGACCGCTTGTGTGGATTTGCCTCCGGAGGCTATACAACTACTTATTAACATTCCGAACTTAATGCGGCAATTGATGAGCTGAATCATAATTTTCTGGATCTAGAATCCCTTTTCGAAAGCCTATGCCAAAGTGGATCATGCCCTGGTAAATGGAGCGGCTGTGCCCGCTGGACGCGCCTCTTTGGCAGGGGTCCATGCTGTTGCTCCCCTTCTATGCCTACCAGGGAGCACCTACCAAAGCACTATGGGGTTTTTGACCACTTTATGTGACATTTAATCATTTTTTAAAAGTTCTCTGATTTAAAAAAAATTAATGGGAATGTATTAAGAAAACATCAAACTATTAAGCCTCTTACTCAAAATATTAATTATTAGCACCATATGCTAGCATAACATCTGCAAAGTCAGCTGTTGCATCCGAAAGCAAGTGCGCTAAGCTTGCAATTTTCACATAGTGATTTGTGAAATTAGATTATTTGTTTAAAACTCCATTTAAAAAGAAAAATAGTAATGGACACTGATTTCACAGGTTTGTACTACATGTTAAATGTATTAACTGTTTAAATTGTGCGTGTCTATACTAACATTTTGTCATTTTATCGATGCACCTTAAGCTGAATTTTGGGAAACAAATTTCAACTTTGGGAAGAGTTTTGAAATAGAAGGAATAAAAAGTTTTCAATGCGTCCAAGTGTATGTTGTAGCGTTGTCAATACTGAGCAAAGGCTGTTAGTCTTATTGTGCACTTTTCTCCACTATTGGTGCAATTTGAATTTTTCTTAGATAACCTCACTTTCTCCAAAAGCCGACTTGGTCGCTGCTTGGAACAGCGAAAGGGGCCGGGCTGAGCATCAAATGGCTGTACAATGTTTTTTTTTAACGCCATGCAAATAACAATGTGGATAATGCCGTTTTGAAAAAAAAAGCCACCAGTTTTTAATGGAAGTAATGGAAAATACGGTGCTTTCAGTCGGCTATTTTGGAGAAGAAGCGTCTGAGTCCTGAAACAAGCTGTATAAATCAGACAGGCGTCACCATTCAAGAAAAGACTACCGATTACATTCCATCTGATGGATACATCAGATCCAATTATTTCGTCCTTAATTTATCGAGATGCATAAAAAACTAAAGAGTCTTTTACTTCCAATTGAGGTAATTGAGATGCTTTCTTACGAAAATAATGTTTGTCTCGAAGATGACGAATTTAACGATTCCAGCTTTTTATTTTTAGATAATATTGATATATTATAGAAAATGAAAAAAAAGAATAATAAGATTAATACTACTGTATGAAGGAATTTTTCTTTTTCAACTTATATATGCATTTGTATGGAAGAACACTGAAATCCGGTATTTTAAACTGACAGTTCCCAGGGAAAGCGTTGTCCGATTTGGTTCAAAATTGCTATATCCTATTAAAATAGCAACAAATATCAGCTCCTTAAATTTCATTAATTTATCTTTACTTTTACCAAAACGTTCCTATGGGAGCTATAGGATATAGTTTCCTGATCCGAACGATTTTCATACTATATGTGCCTAGGACCAAATAATAACGATTGGTAAAGTTTCATGTCGATATCTCCAAAACTGACCGAGTTATTAATTAATGCCACAAAAATAGGTCAAAAACCCCATAGTGCACTGGGCCAGGCCCCAACGGCATCTAAGGGATCTGTCC